GAAAGTGCCTCCACAGAGTTTTAAGATGTAGCCCCAGGCTGAATCACAAAGTAATCCAGGTAATTACCTCTGAGAGCTCATTATCCACCTGAGAGCTCTCCAGAATGTTCAAGCTACTTTTTAAAATCCGCATCACTTCACGTCATCTACCTTTAACTTTCATCCCACCCTCCATAAAGACACCGTACAGCTGGTGTAGTTCATCTTCCTCTAATTAATTATGAGGCTGTGGGAGTAATCGATACACTGAGTAGACGGTGCATCAATGTAATATACACCTTGCGACTGTGCTGGTGGTGTTCATGGGCATTTTGCTTCAGCAGCAATCCTTGATATTGGCACAGGATGAGTCATGAGCCTTTTAGCATCTTGTTATCCTAGTTGGGTGTAAATCAGTGCCATGCTGTTCTTTATTAAAAGAAAGGACTGGAGGCATGAAGAGTGGAGTTGGTGTTAAACTCATGACAAAGTAGTTTGTCTGTAATAGCAGCTAGGTAGACAGCATGCAATCTACCAATCTGACCATGATTTGTCCCTAAACGGTGGTAATAAAACCTGTTTGATTTAGTGCTCAAACGGTCACTGTAGTATTGTTGCAGAGCGTTCCTCAGAGATCACATCAGTTATCAGTCAAATGGTTTTAATCAACTTGTTGATAAAATTTCACTTTTTGTCATAGACTGATTTATGAGACACTGGGCACAGGCATGTAAAGCCCCCCCCAGGTCTTCTTCTATTCACACTAAACAAATTTTTATATTAACATTTCTCATTAACACAACAGTATGTTACCTTACTTGAGCTCTTTCTTGACACAAATGGGCATTTTTGGCATGAAAAACTGGTAAAATCAACTGACTACTTCATGTTAAATGCACCATTAAAGTGCATATTGTGCAGTCTTGCCTTCACTTGCCATTATGTACTTTCTTGCCCATATTACTCTGTTACTTCACATTACAAGAATAATAATTGCTTGCTATTGTCAGTGATTGGTCCATTACGTCTTCAGAATTGGCTGTTATATCTTATCAAATGTAAATCATTCAACCAGCTTTCCTGGTTAGTTTTGAGTTGGTGATAGGGGGAACTACCAATATGGCATAGAGTTAAAGAGAGACTTTTAGGAATTTGTTGCTTTATCGGGCTTTTGCACAGCAGCCAGGAGGCACAATAACAGAAGCGCAGTAATACGTAAGTTGAAATGAAAAATGTGAAATTACATTTTATCTGTATTGTTTCCATATACTGTAGCTAATGAATTGGCTTCATTTGAAACCATATTTGTGTAAAGCAGTAACCTCAGCGCTCTTATCAGAGGCAGAGCAGGTGGTCACACTGAGCCAGACAGCAGCCTGCTACACAGTACAAGCACTACAGACTGTGAACAACAACCCACGTGAGCTTTACTAAAGTCGCCTTCTCATCTAACTTAGGAGCATAAACACCCGTCGTCGTGTTTTGTTTAACGAGCCACCAAACATTCACTGGGCAAAAGTTCACTGCTAAGGTCAGTTTGCAGTCTAGCTAGCAAATTAGTAGCTCAGCCTCAGTTTGGTTTGATGCTTATGTGCTCCTTGCTCTTCGATACTCTTTGTAACACTCACTGCCCTAGGCTTGTATGACTAGAAATGCACTGATTGCAATTTTCTCAGCCAATTCCTTTTTTTTTTTTTTGAAGCCGATTCCCATTTTCTTTTTAAGAACTACAATTAACAGGATACACAGATTTTTTTTGTAATGACGAATTAAGTTCTAATAAAAATAAAACATTGTATTAAAATTTTACATTTCTGTCTTTCTCACTCTTTTTTTATAAACCTCCAACTTAGTTTGAAGTACATTATTTGTACTTTTTCAAATATAAACAGGGGCAGCAGGTAATAAAAACAGACGAATGTCTGTTACAAATTTGATCTGCACAGAATCGGAAATTGGCCGGTCACCTGTCAAGGCTGATCACACTGAAAACCAGTCATTTACATTCTCTGCCAACAAAGGCACAGAAATGAAGGTTTTTGATCTTTCCCACGACGTGTTCTCCCTTTATTGAAGTAAAAAAAAAAAATTAGACAATAAATAATAGACATGGACATTAGTTTTTATTGCAAAACTGCCGTTTCAGCTGGACTTTAAAAATTATATACATTATGCATTAATGATCTATTTGATCACATATGAAGCATAGAAAAACAAAGTTACTAAATGCCTTATACACCATACATAAATAACTACAAAGTGCACTGGAGGACAAATTGTGGTTAAAGTGTCTTGTGTCTACAGATGGCTGAACACCATGAACTACTGGTATTACACTCAGCAACTCACCCATGATTTTTATCCCCTAACTATTGATATCGACCTCCAAAAGCATGTATTTGTCAGGTTCTAGCTTTTTTTTTTTTTTGGCATTTGTGAGGTTGTCAGTCTCCTTCTAGCTCATTTCATTACACACACCCACAGATCAGATGCTATGTCAGAGGCTTAACTCAGTTAAATGCCCCCAAACTGATGCTAGGATTTATACTGACAAGTGCAAGTTATTCTTTTTAAAGATAATTTCATCATGTTATTTTCCACCACCAATTTTCTTGCAGTTAGCATTTTTTTTGTTTGTGCATTCATTTTCTTCCTTCTTATTTCCCATTTTTTGGATTTTTGGTGTAAATTCTATTGTAAAACTGTGAGCACCTCCTCATCCAATGCCGTGCTAAGGGATTTACCGTACTCTCCCATACACACACACACACACACACACACACACTCTGTCTCTCTCTCTTTCTCTCAAACACACAAACACAAGTTTTCAGTATTTCCTGGAGCATTAGTAGAGGAAACAAACTGAGGCACAATGATTCCTGTTTTTATCTACATTCACAAAGCTAAAAACTGGAAGATTTTACTGAAAATGTGTTTTCACACATATATATATATATAATAAATTGTGATAATGGGCTACAACTGCAGACTGTCTCTGTAAACATTAATGGAGTTTTCTATCTAAGAGCGAGCATGTTGTGTTTAAAAAGAACCAGAAGAGCTGGTAAACAGCAATAGCACATTAACTGGCCCAGCAAAAGCCTCTGTTGAAGATCAGTTTATGCTTCTGCGTTGATTCTATGGTGTAGGTAATGCGTGGCCTTGCACCCTATGCTGTATCCATTGCCATAGCATGATATGCACCTCCCCAGAGATGTAACTGCACGTCATGGCCATGCAGACCACAACAACAGTGATTAGTTGCATCTCATTTCCTTGGTAATGTCTCAGTGGCCGGAGAAGCACAGAGAATCCCCCCTCATTCTGCCTCAGTTGTTTCAGTGGTCGTACAGACCATCTCCTCAGACATCTTCTCTCTTACCTGTGTTCTCAAAATAATTGCTGTTCAAAGTCTGTCATTTTTAACTCCAACATGAGCTGCTCAGTTTCAGTTGCCATTGTAAGTGGTGAAGAAGCACAACACAGTGGTGTAGGCGCACCACCTGCAACTAGCGTTTTGGTGGTATAATTGCAGAGTGACACACATACCAGTGCACAAGTATAGATGCTCACAATATCGTAGGCCACTTGCATAGCCTACTGTGTAAGCTATACTTAGATTCAACACAGAAGCATAAATCAGGCTTTAATTATGAGAATTTACTCTGAAGTAGCCTCACCAAACTCTTTGTCATTCCAAGACATGCAATGACAAAAATTTGTGGTTTTAGTGGGAGCATCTGTTGTTGCTGTATGCTGTTGTTTGTCAAGCAATAATTTTAGAACTACATCTGAAGTTAAAATGTGCAATTTTTTTTTTACATTTCTCTTCATATGCTATTTTATTTATTGTGTTTATTCTTTACAAGGACGCATGCAACTAACCATCGTCCCACTCAGCCGACTGATGCAGTGCATGTGGGGCTTCTAGCTAAAGGCTAATTTGCAGCCCCTATCCCTGGTTAGGCTTTTAAAAACAGCTTCAAACATTATAGAACAAAACCAGCTTAAACCAGGACAAATGAAACCAAGTGTAACAAACTGGCCTACACTGTTCAATGTTCCCATCTTTATAGTTTAAAACACTGTTTTACCTTTGTAGAAAAGACTCTGAATTCTGATTGTGATTTTAAATCTGGTTCAACAGAAACATGATTGACCAAAAGTAGTCCTGTACCACTGAACCCTGTACTTCCACCTTACTACCACTCTAGTCTTGACACCTTCGCTATTATATCTTTGCACATAAATATTCTTTTGATGAAAGAAAACTTTTTACACAAAAACCTTTTACTAGTTACGCAAACAAGTAACACAATATGTTAATCAGTGACCTTTAGAGATGTTGGTAAGGGGTTTTTCTCTGTTTGGTTGGAGTCAGACTGGCTGCTTCCCCTCCCTGCAGTTTTGCTAAGCTAGGCTAGTCATGTCCTGGCTCCAACTCCATATTCAGTGTATGACATGTTCTTCTCATCTCACTAATGGAAATAAAGTCTGTCCATCCATTAGCTCTACCACTTGTCGTGTAGAGGGTCACAGGTGTGCTGGAACTGATCACTTTTGGAAATAAAGTAATTAGTGTGTTGGTACATGTTGCCGTCCCTGGTAGGCTAGTGGTTAAGGTGCAGCGCTCTCGCCGCTGCGGCCCAGGTTCGAGTCAAGGTTGCGTCAGGAAGGGCATCCAGCGTAAAACACGTGCCACATGTCAACATGCGAGTCGTCAGTGTGACGATTCACTGTGGCGACCCCTAAACGAGAAAAGCCGAAAGTGACTTTCTTAATGTGTTGGTACATGTTAACTTCAGTCTATTTTTAAACGATCCCCTGCTTCCAGTCTTTATGATGAGCAAGGCTAATAATGTCCTGACTCTTGCTCTATAGGTAATGTAAACATATTGTTGACACCAGTCTACTTATTCCACTCTTGTATAGAAAGCAAATGTCTGTTTCCCCAAATGTCTGTTTAAATAGTTTTTCCTCTCATCTGTCCTGAAAGTCCTTCTCATTTCTTCCTTGCCCAGGGCGAGTCTCTTTCTTCTCCTCTGGCTCAGAGAACCTCCACCGTGTGGAGAAGGTGACATGGGGCACGCGCTATGCCATCACTGTGTCTTTCTCCTGCGACCCTGCACATGCTATCTCTGACCCCACCCTGCCCTGAGGGATCCATGGGCGATGATGCTGATCACTGGCTCGGACAAACCCTGCAGCAAAGGGGGGTGGGAGGGAAGGACAAACAAAAAGACAAGGAAGGAGGAGAAGGGGAAAAAGTCAGTTTATATGGAGGGTTTACTCAGACATTAGTGTAGCGTAGTCACAGTCGATATCTGTAATTTTCTTTTCAGATATTGGCTTGTTGGTTCTTATTGATTGTGCTACAGAAAAAAAACATGTCCATCCTCTCTTTGGTAGAGGTGTTTTTATTATTTCTTACTGACCCTCCTGTTTTTATCTAGTTTTCTGTCGGTTTTTTTCTATCTAGTAATAGGCATGTGTGGTTCCCTGCACATGTGCACCATCTGCTCTTCTTGATCACCTGGGGGACAGCCTAAGCAGAAATGGCTTCTTGATTGAAAAGAGTTGCAAAGAGGCCAAAATGGTGTTGGATGTTTTCTGTGTCTTGTTGTGTCTTTTATTTTAAGGAGAGCGGTCGGTTTTGGAGAAGAGAGAAGTCTAATGAATCACCTACAAAATGAGCCTTTCATCGCAAAATCCCCACTCATACTTGTCCCCACCCATGGTCCAGGAAGTGTTTTCTTCTAAGAAGAACCCTCTCCTTGTCTAACAGAGATTGTTCTTTCCAGTGTGTTACCTTTTACTTCAGTGTGGTTGGAGAGGATGGGTTTAAATAAAATACTGACAGGACCTGAGATGTTCTTTTCTCTTTGATTATTCCTGTTTCTTTTCAAAAATCTTAAATATGAAGAATCCAGCACTGTTATGTTCAGGTAAATATTTAATTTTCATTAACTATCATTCTTGTGTATCTCTGTTGATTGCTACTGGTCTTATCTGTGCTTCCTTTATGAGTCAGACACTTGAGGAACTGCCTGACTGATCAAACACTATCATCACTTCAGGAAATCATCACACTTGCCTTTCGTATTTTCTGCACAGCTGCTCAGAACAAACGAGTCTCTACTGTCAATTTAACCTAATGGGTTCTGGAGTTTGAGCCATGAAATCATTGGGTGTGGATTATATATGCCAAAAGGTCATTTCAGTCTTTACCTCGTGAAATGTTGATGGAAGTTTGTTTGACAATAATTAATGGCACTTTCCTTAGGACTTTTGTCAAAGTAACATTTAATTCTTTTTAATAGCTAATGCGGTAAATGATTTTCATATGATTGTGTATATAAAGCAGTATTCATGGTTTTGTTTTTGACCACTTGGAATTAGTGGGACAAGATGAAATATTACATGAGCAAGTTATCACCCTGTAAAGTTGATATAGTGAACTTGTTAGCCAACATTTACATGTTCAGCAGACATGCAGGAACACTGAGGGACATTAAAAACAAGCTAATTGCTGAATTCTTCAACGTGTTCTGTTTGCTGTGTTGGATTTATCAGAGTTTTGCTGTTCAAAACAGCTGCCTTTCACAGGGAGAAGCACACTTGCAGAGTTGTGGGCTCTAAAACCAAAACAGTGCACAGAAAGACACTGAGGTCCACACATGCATGGGTATTTTAAAAACGTAGATTTCCAGTGGGCTCCATTTGGCCTTTCATCCACATGCAAACAGCGTTTTAGGTCACTGAAAACTGAGTTTTTGGAAAACGCCATCCAGGGTGAATACATTTAAAAACCCTATTTTCAGTCTTAATGTGTGGACAGGAAAAACTGAGTCTTTGGCTTGTCATGCGAGTGTGTGCCGGTATGTGCTTGACATTAGTGTGAAATATTATTTCGTTTATCAGGCGACATTGTGCAGTGGTGGACATAGCTAAACTAGTGATGGTAGTAACATTGTTAACCTGGCTTTTAGTGTGCTTACAAATACACACACTCGCCTACTATTTTGAGGAATGGAAGTAACAGAATGTGCTATCGAGATCACTACTACGCTCAGCAACACTCTCACATTGATCTGTTATACAGACCCCAGTGCCAGTGCATCCCATAACCTTTTTCAGACTTCTGATTGACCAGCATGACTGTATGGTTAAGGTTATATTGCCAGTTGTTGGCTTGACATACTCTTGACAGCATGTTGTGTTTTCATGTCGTCACAGATTTTTTTTACAGCTGTATATGTGGATGGGAGGGAAAAGTTCATTTTCTAAAAATACCCATGTACATGCAGACCATACTTCTACAGACCATGCCTAAGAGCTAAAGGGAACTGTAGTGTCAGGTTTCACTGCACGTAACCCCTTTCACATTAAACAGTAATTTGACCAGTAGTTAATATAAAAATAATGATTAATGTAGCTTTAAATCTACATAAGTAACACTGACAAATGCAGACTTAATATTCACTGCGATTGATTACACAACTTAAGTTCTAAGAGTTTGCTAACATGACAAAAATGGTCAGAAAAAAGTTATACATGCATGATGTGTAGGAGCTAACGCTTGGAAAAACACTGGTTAAAATAACCTTGCTGCACAAATGTAGGAACTTTATATCCACTGCAAATACACTGCTGTGCCCACGGCCTCGGCTCCAGAGGGATCAACTGTCACATTCAGTGGTGTTAAGAGAAAGATAGCAGTAGGCCTGTATGTGGAGGAGGGCTGTGTGGGAGGAAGACTAGTTTTTGTGAAACAAGCATGTTTTGTGTGTGTGTGTGTCTGTCTGTGTCTCAGTCTGACAAGGTCATTCACAGCTGTCACGTGTTGCAGCACCTTGTTCAACATTGTTAATCCACTTGGATAATGAGCAGACACATTAAGCCAGTGCAAAGTTTTTCCATCAAATGAGTCATTGATCTCCTTTAATGTTCAAAGCAAATGCACTGTAAAAAAGCAGACAATCATTTTGCTGGGCTTGTGTGACACATTGATCGTCCAGATTAGAGGATTCTTTAAAGGTCTAAACCTCAAAGGATATTGTTTGCCTTATTTACTGAACCATCTTTTATGCTGTCGAGATTAGTGATTTATACAGATTTGTAGTGCTGCAGTCAGTCAGGAAGGCCCTTTAAATTATCTGAGAATTGGAAAGTAAATTGTTTGCTAAACCCTGGCCTTCTTACTTAGTTGTTGGTGACATAATATATGCTCATATTGCACATAAAACATTTGGCAGTGTATTACAAGTTAGCTGAGGTAGGTTTGTTATACTGCAACTTTCAAAGGCTTATTTGTTGTGACAGTGACAAAGACTGACCAAATTTTCTGGTGTGATTTGAATTTATTTATTTGGGGGGCTGAGGTAGATGACTTTGTACATCTGGAAAGAAATCTACACATCTCCATGAGACGGGATGATATCAATAGGGTTACAGCCTGTGTTGATGTATTTCATAAATAACATTAGCAGAGATGTACACTGCTTTTATGGTGTTATTGTTTTCGTGTTAGCAGATAATGTGAGGACAGTAGCTATTAATAGTTAGTAACCCTGACAGGGTTATTTTTAGCTCTCGCCAGTGGGTAAAAGCCAGTCTGGTATTCACTCTTGTCTGGTTTCTTGCTCTGTCTTTTGCTCTTCTTCCTGGCTGTGGATGGGCTCTGGTGATGCCTACTATATACTGCTACATGTGTGCTTTGGTCTTGTTGCACAGCTTGCTCACAGTCACAGTATGCAATTGTCATAAGTTAGTAAGTCTGAATTTTATGTCCAAACTCCCGAGGACAGGAGGACACCTCTCAGTGTCCGACTGGAACACTGACGTCCTTGCTGACAGCTCTGCTCTGAACAAGATGTAGCTGCCTGCTAAGGAGAGTTAGCTCGGTCTTCTAGCAGGTCCTCAGCTCCAAAAACATGAGAGCAAATTTCCATATTGGGATTACTTGGATAGACTGACCAAAGTTACAGTTAAAGTTCTCTCTTATTATATTCTTATATATTTTATTATACTGCTGCATTTGCTGCTTAAAGTGCCTTAGATTTTGTGTTACTTATTTATCTACTTTATATTTCATTTGTATTTTGTGGCATTCATGTGGACAGCAAAGTAAGAATTTCATTGTACAGGGAAACACGTTTCCTAACTGTGCATATGACAAATAAACACTTTGACCTTGACATGATGCAATAACAGATGATCCAGGCACAGTGGCAATAGCAGAGATGCCATTCACTTTAGTATAAGTAAGCTGTTATTTTGCAGTGTAAAAAGTTTACATACTGTATGGTTGCTTTAATAGAAACTGATATCCCACTAATAGATGGAGGCTAAAACTGTATGTATCAGGGATACAGTCGGTATCTACAAACTGATAATCTATAGAAACACAGAAATAAATAAATGGCATTGTTCTTGTACTCAAGTATTAATCCTTGTATCAGAAGTAATATGAAAAGGGAAAACTTGTATTTCATTCTACACACATTTTTTGGCTGCAAAGCTCAAATAATTAATAAGAAAAGAAAACATAAGATAACATAAAAAGGTTACTTTTATGCTTTAGTGTTTTTATTTTCAAATCGCATGTTTTCACTATTAACATTACAAAAGAAAAGTCTGATTTTTACATATTTTACACCCCTGCTAAATCTAATCCGCACTGTTAGCTGTACATGCTAATGGTTGCAGTTTATGTTAGACGAGTTTAAGAACACTGTTTAATTTGTTCTTTACACTGTGGCTCTTGTATCTTTGGTTTCGTTTGGTGGTAAACTGTTTTTGAATGTATGATGAAGTCGGTGTGCTTGCCTTGGACTTTTAATGCCTGCCATCAGTATGTATTATGAAGCCTTTGGTATCCAGTATCAGTTTAGGATTTGTTAAGTTAATCTGAACAAATAATGAGGTGGGTACAATGTCTCACTCTCAAAAAGAATCTGTCATTATAACAGCTGTGTAATTAATTTCATTGTGTAACAGATTAACACTGTTATTGTCTTATCCCAGCTGGCTCTGTCACATAACAGCACCCACAAGGCCTAGTCAGGAGTCAGACTCAGCCGGCTTGGCTAATCCCCATTTAATGAAACTCTTGGAAGTGTCTGATTAATATAAGCAGATCACACACAGCAGTAAAGTGCTGGACTGAAGCAGTGGATAGTAGTTCGGTCCCATGAAACTTGAACAGCAAATATAATATCTTGTGTAAAATGTCATTGTAAAGCAAAAACACTGCATAGCAATACATTACATGGTACTTTATACCAAAGAGACGGTACAATATGTGAAAGTGATTGTACAGTATGTAGCCTTGATCTTAACACCCCCCACCTCCCCAAAAAAACTAACTGAAGGATACTTTTTGCGATTTGCCATAAATGTTAATTTCCCCAGAACAGAATAACTTTCTCCACATGGACGCCAAAGTTACCATGTACGTACATGGTAGAAAGCTGATTTTTATTCAAGTCACAAACACAAACACAGTTTTAACCGGAGGTCAAGTGCATGGCTTTTAAAACTCAAAGCACAAAGCTGCTATTAGTTGATTAGATGAACATTTTCAAATTTCAAACAAAGATGATTTGACAGACTCCTCTGGTTGTGTATTAATAACACCTGAAGAGATGACACACTCTGGCACCATGTTCTGTCATTTAAAGGTCACATCCTGCAACTGTGAATATAATTTACAAACACATCTCCAAAGTCAATATATGAAATTTAGCACTGCATAAAACATGAAGATTATTATTCAGTTTTTCAAAACAATTGTACAATTTTTGCCAAAGATGAGAAGCAATAAACCGAGACTTGTTGTGACTGAATATTACAATCTGGTCATGGGGATTGATTGTGTTAACAAGCGGTTTCATATAATTGGTCGGTGAACTTGAAAAGATGCTTGTCAAAGTTCAAATCATTAAAGCTGCTAATGATTGATTAAATCAGTGTTATGTGGATTGCCTAAAAGGACTGACCCAACTCTGCAGTTCCCCTCTGCAGATTTTAGCATAATTCAGTTCAGTGTGTTGTTTTTACAACCTGCAGCTTTAATGCTTTGGTTCACTCAAGTGTTCTCATCAGTGTTGGTTGGGTTAATGTTGCACTCTGTCTGTTAGATGTGTAAATATGTAGGTATTTGCTAAAATGCTCACCATATCAACTTTATAGGGTTGTAATGCACTGACCAGCCACTTTAATAGTCGCACCTGTACGATTGTATGCTATTCACTGCAACACTTCCACCTTAACATCTGTGTTTATGAAGCTCAAAATGTTTGTTTTTCTTGAAATGGTCATAAATGTATAAATTCAACTATATAATTATTATTGAGGTCACAGTTAAAGGTGGTGTTGTGCTGGACTATATTATATTGAGACTTGTTCCTAATATTCTGACCCTCTCAGTATGTAGCTGGGGAGGACAAAAATATATGTAGACACAGCTCTGAATATAAGTTTGGGCTAAATGTACAGCTTTATACAGTATATCCCCAGTCACTATGTGGTGCAAAAATTAGTTTAATTGCTGTTTGTTCCATTGATAAAATGTGGTCTATTTCATATGCTGTATTTTACAAATGAATTCTTCTGCATAGTTTCTCTTCTGGGATTAGTGTTACAATGCAGTAACCAAGAGTAACTTTCTCTGGCTTAGGGATGAGCAGATTTTCTTTGCTCAGGGGAGAAATCCACTAATTCCTCCTGGATTCCTCATGAATCTTACCTGTATAAAGCCATATGTTTCTTAAGTATGTGGAATATGCATGCTGGAAACACTGAAAAGACAGTGTATGGACAAGAGAGAAAAAGAATGACACAGAGGCCATTTTCTCTCATTCATGCTGTGACAGTGTTTGTGAAGCACCAAAAACTGGCTGCAATGAATTTATGTATGAGTTTGTGACATTTGAGATGCATACACACAAAAGTCAAAGTGTACCAATGTGTACAATCCCGCCTGGGATATTGCTTTGAAAATGCCACAGCTCTAGATATCATTCAGATCCTAATTATAAGAAATCGGGCACCAAGGACCTTTTTTCTGTCAATGTGTGTGTTTGGAGAACACAGCAACCGTGTCCTGACATATATAATATTACCATCTGCATACTCACAGTTTGTTTTCATGTCCCTGCCTGATGATGCTAAAGAGGACAGAGAAGCTTTCCAACAGATGGTTGTGCAACCTGGTGAGACTTTTGTGAGTCAGATTAAAGCAAAACAGCTTCCTTTCAGTGCTAGGGGGCATCTTAATTAAAGACCTATCAGTTCTTCTTAAAACATGAGGCGCATTTAAGCATCACTCACTGAGATACCTGCTAAAAGGTAGCTCCTGAACAGATGGACCCATCTCCATCTCTTCTTAATCCCTTAAAATAAGTCTTTCTGGATGCTGAAAAATCAAGTGATCATTTACTGAGCTGGGTGAATGCCTCATAAGCACAAAGGTATGATAAAGTTTCAGCTTTCACAAAGTGTCATCATGCTTCACACAGGTGAGTCCTGTAGGCCACAGTTCAGTCCAGTAAACATTTCTACCAGAGCACTGATTCACCCAACCAACCATTCAATGGCTTCCCTCTTGCGTATTATTTGAAACAATGTGCAGACTTCTACAAGCCAACAACTACAGCTACAACAAAGCCTAGCTGGAAGCACTCTCCATCTGTACTGTAGCTGTTTTTGGCACTGACTTTACCTCAGTAATGGAAGTGTGTTTGCCTTAGTAGGAAGATGCATGCAAATTCAAAGTGATTGGAGATGATGGTGGAGGGTTTTTTTTTTTTGTCATACCAGAGGGCAACTCTGAGGTCCAAATGTGGGCTGAAATCAGTTTCACAGAGCTAAATTAAATGACAAAGCAGAACACCCCATCTCTATCTATCTGTGTAGGACCACAACAGACAGATTATTTTGAGCTTTAGTCAGTAACAGTAAATAAAAAGTGAACTTCTAGCACAGCACCACCCTTGTCCAAGCCTCTATTAGTAAGCGGGCAAAGCTGATCCAAAATCTCCACGTTCATTTCATAACGTTTAGTTTTCATAACTTGATTAATGTAATATTTGTTTGGGCATTTGTACATTATTTATGAACTATATGTGTGAATTGTACAGTTTGTGTGAATTGTCTTAGTTTCAAACACTTTATCATTTTAGTTTGTACTGCGCTTTTATGATTGTTTAACTGATTTTCAGGGTTTTTATTAGATGACAGGGATTGAGGGCAGAGAGAGAAGAGAGATGAGGAATGAGATGCTACAAAGGTCTCCGGTCTTCAGCCAGAGGTGCTGCAATTCATTGTCAGTATTGGCCATCAGTGTGCCCCTTAATCTGTCATACTAAATCCATTGAGTGTTGGATTCATCAAACTCAAAACTGGACAACTTATCCATGTAAACAATAGCACCCCCATTGTTTACATGGCAACCATCCTAAAATTACTGGCCACCCCACTGGCTCCTCTGAAATTCCTCTGTGCTGTATGACCTTTTTAGTGTGCCACCCCAAGATTTTCACTGGCCCCATCTGGCTCCCCCACTAAATAGGTTCTGCAGGCATCCCTGCACTTAAATAATTTGTTTACTTAGTAACATCTTCCTAATTCCTGTATTGCTTTGTTGCTTTGATAGTTGAGGGTCGACTTGTTTGCTGTCTTACTTGGAGTTTGATGGAGGTTTGATATCAGCTCGGTATCTCTCTGTGTTCACCGGTCACACTGCTGCAGGATAAGGTTGAGGTGTGGGGCAGAGAGTAGCCTCAACTAAAAGGGAAATGTGAGCTGCTGGTATGTGTAAATTCAGAATTCTGCTCTTTTTCAGAATTAGAGGGTGTGAGTTTCTGAGGTCAGGACTTCTGGAGAGCTGGGTGCACCCACCGAGGCTTAACTAGCTGCTGATGGATGGTCAGTAAATGCGTCCAAATGGCTGAGCTGCCCACTTGTTAAACACCAGTGTCTTCTATTTGTGCATGTGTGAAATACAAAAAACAACAATAATAATAATAATAATACATGGGTGTGGACAGTTTACAGACACCTTAACAAGTAATGTAATTCATTACAATTGCTGCTGAGTAATTAGTAATGTAATGATTTCTTCAATTAGTAATATGTAATGAGTAATTGATTTCAATTTTCAAATAACTTGCCCAGCAGTGCTGATAAGTGCCACCTGTTCATGAGGAGGTGCACATTCTTGGGATTTGACCATCAGAATAATCAACACCCCTGAAACTGCTATATAAGGCTGCGTGCTCCACTCTGCTAGTCGACAGGTTTCATTCACAAAAATGTTCCCACACTGCTGAGCTTCAAGTCTGTCCTCAGAAATCAGCAGATGGAACGATAGCATAACACGTTAGCAAAATCAGTAGTGGTATTAATGGAAATTGTTTAGAAAAATGTCTAAACACTTATAAAAGATTGTGTTCCTCTGTGGGTCAGAGCAGAACTGTACTGTGACAGAAATAAAATGGGGGTGATTTGACACATGTAAAGTCACATGCCCCTTAAGAACAAACCTCTTCCTATGAATGGTTATTTGATGATGTTTATCAGCCCCTCTTTAAAACCTTAGTAAAATGCAGGAGTCATATAAGGACATTTACCATTTGTGTTTTAAATAGTGCTTTCTGCCAAACAGAACGGTCACGTATACTTTATAAGCCAAGGTCCATATTATCAACCATCCCCACCCCACAGTACCCCAAAAAAGGAAAAAAAGACACTAAGCCACCAGGGACCTGTGCAGTTTTTCCAAAAATAACCCACTTTTAGGTAATCCAGCCTTTTGGTGGGGTGCCATGGGAATCCAATGCCACATTTTTAACCTGCGTCTAACACTGGTGGTTTGGTCTCTGTAACTGGGACCTTGTGTTCACAGCACTGTAGAATCAGTTCCTCCACTGAGGGTGAGAAAGTGAAGAAGGAAGAAGTGTCAGAGCGTTAATGGGGCTCAGAAGGCCACAGGGCGAAAACCGTCAGGCATGAATGGAATAGCAGCTAAGCGTCCCTCTCATTAGAAGGGACTCGTGTCGGTGATACTTGAAAAAAACATATAATGAAAATGGAACAGTGAGAACATATCTAGTCGCCAAGACGTATTTTTACGCACGGTGTGACACCAGCCTGTGCGTCATGGAGAGGTTATTACCTACCTGTGGTTCCAAAAGACTTCTCTTCTCTTTCACACGACTCACTTCAGTGTTCCCATGACCAGATTTTCTGAGTTGAACTCAAACTGATTGCTTGAGGATGCAGACTTCACCCAGGAATAGAGGCTGGGCGGTCGCTGCTTAAACGAGGACGTGTACCTGTAGAAGCTCCTGTGTCTGTTCTTCAGATACTCCCTGTAGTTCTTGGTGAGGAGCGTGTAGAGGAAAGGGTTAATGCAGCTGTTGCTGTATGTGAGGCTCGCTACCAGGTAGTTGATGCAGGTGTGTGTCTGCGAGGCCAGGCTCAGGGGCTTGGTGTGGTACAGAGGCAACAGTTGCCAGATCCAGAACGGCAGGAAGCACGCCCAGAACACCAGCACAATGGTGAAAATCATGATCAGCACTTTCTGTTTAGGTGATCGCTTGCTACCTTTGCTGATCACAGAGTTGCGCTGTGACTCTAAGTAAATGCGAGCTAACCTGACGTACAAGTAACCGATAATGAGCCCCGGTGCCATGATGCTGGTGCCAAACAGAACGGTCACGTATACTTTATAAGCCAAGGGCGCCCAGGTGGGTGCGCACATCCTCTTTACGCCTCCGTCCGGCGTAGTTTTAGTGGTCTGGGCGACCATTATCATCATGGGCACAGTGAGGACCAGAGAAAGCAGCCACACACCCCACGCCAGAGCTTTGCGGTAGCTCTTGGAACGTCTCACTGTGTCCAGCGGCTTGGTGACAGCCAAGTAGCGTTCCATGCACATGACGGTGAGGGTGAAGATGCTGGCGTGCATGGTGAGGAGGTCCAGGCTGAGCAGGATGCGGCAGCCCACATCCCCAAAGTACCAGTCCTTCAGGAAGTAAGTGGACACCACGAAGGGGATGGTGGAGAGGTAGAGAAGGTCCGCCAGGGCCAGGTTGATGATGGAGATGTACATGGAAGTGGCGAAGCGGATCGAGTGACACATCACCACCAGTGTGTAGACATTCCCCGACACTCCAATTATGTAGACAACGGAAAGGAGCGTCCCGAAAGTAGAGGTGATAACGAGTTCATTATCCACAGTCTGGGAACCGCCGCCGCCAATCCGCGGCGGACTCGGGTTTAAATTAATAGATTTGTTATTCATTGCGCGTTCGGATGCTCGCCTCCTGTTGTTTCTTGTTTTGCTCCGTTCCCCTGGAGAGTGCTGGAGAAGTTTAGAAAGATGTGCGCTGACACAGGTTGAATCTTGCTTATCCGCCTCTCCGCTCTCTGCCTGCTGCTCTTTGCTCCTGACGTCACCACAGCCA